GCGGCAAAGGTGGCAAATCTCGCGCAAAGGCAAAGACCAGGTCAGCACGTGCTGGGCTTCAGTTCCCAGTCGGCCGTGTGCACAGACTTCTGCGCCGTGGTAACTACGCCGAGCGTGTCGGTGCTGGAGCCCCAGTCTACTTGGCTGCTGTTCTCGAGTATCTGGCCGCCGAGATCCTCGAGTTGGCAGGCAATGCAGCCCGTGACAACAAGAAGACCAGAATCATCCCCCGTCACCTTCAACTTGCCATCCGCAACGACGAGGAGCTGAACAAACTTCTTGGAGGTGTGACGATCGCCCAGGTTGGTGTTCTCCCCAACATCCAATCCGTCCTTCTGCCCAAGAAGACGGAGAAGAATACCAGTATGCACATTAAGTGTGCAGTTCCTTATTGACAAAAAAGTCCCTTTACGTCACTTTATTAAGCGAAGAAGGCTTTCGCACTTGAGGTCGCCATTCATATCCAAAAATTGCCAAAAGGTTCAGGTTAAAAAAATACTACATAAGAGAAATGTAGAGTTAACATCAGTGATGTGTGAGCCACTTGCAAACTGCCGCTACGGACTAAATATTAATTATATGTAATAGAATTTCTCAGCAAATGCGCATCCAGTTTGCGTTTAAAAGTAGCAATAATATCTGAAAAGACCATCTCACCAGAGAGTCCGTTCCACGCTCAAGTTACCCTCTGTGAGAATGCGTTCTGTGGAACGTCCATATGGTCCGGCTTCCACTGCACATGATCAGTACAAGCTAAATCGAAGAATTTATCAAATTCTAAGGCGCACTCACGGCTTCTGAAAATTCGGTAAGCTTAAATGATGTCACCGTGTGCTGGCCTGTAATTGAGAGGAAATAAATCAAGTTCAGTCTATCAATCTTTGTGAGGCAGATCACCAGGCTTCTTGACCATCTTCGTAGGCCTCGCCTGGCTCGTTCCAGGTGCAGATAATCTCTCCTAAACAACGGACGTCGGGCCTGAACGGCATATTCCAAATAAAACATCTTCTTTTGTAAAGTATCAATCCCTTAATTAATTGGTTTTAATGTAAAAGGCATGTTTTTTCATCCGTCTGTCAACGGTGTAGACAAATAGCAGATTTTTAATTTAAACCTGAAATCGTCGACATATCTTGTATTTAATTACCTCGTTATTCTTCTATCTCCCCATGTGTTTGTGTGTTGTGATGATTAAAAAACAGTTCATTGTTACATTCGGAGACCTAAACACGTGATCTACTCCTTAAGGTGTGTGCCCACCTCAACATCATTGGTCGCTACACTCGAGATGTGCTGTGGTAAAGCTACCTCGAACAACCACGAATCCTCGCTCACATGCGTATTTAAAACAGCACCTCGAACAGGGGCTGTAAATTTGCCTTCATTGTACATCAGCAATAATGAATAAAGTTCAATGTAGGAATTTCTGTAGTTTTTACCATTAGAATATGGACAGTGTCGTTCCGGCGCTAACAAATATAAATACCGAATTCCAAATATTGAACCATCCTTGTACCATATTGAATAGATAGGTGGCAAAGACCTTCTTGATATAAACATTACTGTTTTTAAATTTGAGAAGGATTTCGTATTTCTCCTGCGTGTTATTCACTTAGTTTTGACCTTATTTATATTTCGCATTTGTCCCAAAACTGTTTCATTTACTTCCGTTCAAAACACGTTCTCAAACACACCCAATGGCCCTACTGATCAGTTCATGTTTCATGTTTCATGTTTCATCAGTAGAGGGTAGGGAACGGATCCGT